CCATTGCTGTGCTGGCACAGGGTGCTCTGAAACTGACCATGACCTAAGATTTTAAAAGCAGAATTTTGGACTTTGATCTAACGTGAATGTCCAAATCTCTCATGCAGTGAGATTTCAAGGAGGCTAATTGAAATATTTTTCCTGTTACTGTTTGTTTTTTTAGTCCAGGCTTGCACAAAGGGTATGAATAAACAGCAAGAGTTAAGGCTGAAGAAATAAGAATTCCCTTATTTAAATAAGAACTATGTTTTTTTGTTGTCTTAATGGTTAATATTGTTAGAAGTAATGGCTCTTCGTCAGTGACAAATATTTTAAAATAACTTTTGCGAGCAATTGACTGAAAAAGACAAAATATTTAAACTTATTTACAAATTGCCTTATTAAAGTTTTCACAACATTTTAAATAAAAAAGTGTAACTAAGATTTTTAGAAATATTTGAAAATGGTTGCATTTTGGTCTTGTTTCAGGGAAGTAAAGAATCTAATTTCTAGAAATTTTCAGGAAAGATCTTTTAAAACTATTTTCCAGTCAAAGAAAATACTGCATGAGTCTTCAAAGGACATTTTACAAAATTGTATTTGACCCCTTCGATTTCCTTAAGGCTTTCTGTGCTGGGTTGTCATCCCAGTTATTGTATCTTTGTATTTTGCAGTGTGATTGTAGTAGAATTTGAACAGGCCTAAGACCTGATACATGACCCATTGAAGTCAGTACAAATCACCTCACTAGCTTTGGTGGACTTTGTTTCAGCATCTAAGTAATCTATTTTACTAGCTCAAAGTTGCACACCGTTTTTTGGCCACAGGCAATAGCTGGAAGAGACTATATTTTAAATTAATTGTTTGTGCTGTGGTAATAATGTGAATTTTTTTTAATGGGCAGCCAAAACTCAATGAGCTAGACAGTGCTGTGCAAACACAGAACAACTGCAGTCTTTGCTCAACAAAATGTGATCACTGTTATATTAAAACTAGTATAAAGATCAACACCTGGGTGTTGTGCTCAGTGGCACAGGGCACAGGAGAACTTTTTAACAGAAGTTTTAGTTGTGTGAGTTACACATCTAAGTTAACGTGAGAAAAGATGAGCATGTGAAGTGACAGTACAGAATTGTTCCAAATAGCTCAGTTATGATGGAGTTCCTTAGCCAGCATTATTTAGATCTTTTGAATTTGGCTGATATGTTAGATTTTATAATTTGAAGATGCTGTTTATATAAAAGCTTGAGCAGTGATAGACTGGGTAGATCTGAAATGATAATACCAAGATTTTATGGTTTATAGATAAGAAATTGCCTTATTTTCCACCTTATGTAAATATATTTAACGTATTTCTGTGCTTGATTAAAAAGCCTTATATTTCAGGAAAATTTATTCCAATCAAAACTGTTGAAGTTTTTATAGCATTGGAATAATTAATATTTTTGTTCTATCTCAAGAACTAGAAATGTATGCAGTTGCTGCTAATGATTTTGAAATAGGCTTACTATAAAACAACTGGGAATAATTTTAGATAGAAAAATTCATTATTAAGCAGTATTTCTGAAATAGTGACATATGAAACTCCTTTGGCATGGAAGAGGTTGGACTCCAGTATTTAGTAGAAACTTTGGCAGAATTCTATGATGAAAGCCCTGAAGGAAACCTACTATGGTATGTTAAGTAACTCTGACAGTGACTAAATAAGTTCTATTAATAGGTGGACTTTGTTGGATGTAAAATGGTAACTTAGTAATTATATTTCTTGAGAATATGCATCACCTATCTAGAACTACTTAGGTTGGCATTCCTCCATGGTTTTGTACACAGTTAAATTAGGGCAGAGATAGTCTCAACTGTGACTGTCAAGATGTAACTTTGCTCTCACTGTTCCTGAAGGGTTGCATAACTGATTTGTCAGTCATATTAAAGACCGTTCTTGTGTCAATATTAAATCTCACCTATGTATCTGAATTCAGTGCTGTGGGTTTTTTTTTTTACCCATGTCATTGCTAGTAATGCAATGTCCACAACTGAAATGTAACCAATAACTATTGATGACAGAAGGTCCAGAATAAAACCCATCTTACTTTCCCAAACAGCATTAACTCCTGCACCACTGTTGGGCCAGTTCTGGACTTCAAACTGAACCAAAGCATCTGTTAATGATGCATACACAGAATCCAGCTAATTTGCAGCTATAATGGCTCTGGCTGTGTAGAAAAAAAGCAAAATCTTTTTTTCCACCTGTAATCTAATAAAACTTGGTTTTCAAAAAACCTATCTGATAAGAACAAAATCGTAATTTTTTTTACTGGCAGCAATAATTTTTGTAACACAACTGGACTAGATGTTTCCTGACAGTATCATGGAGTGAGTGGTAAAGTAAGGAAGAAAACAGCCAGAACACTAATTTCCACATCTTTGACTGAATTGATACATCAGCTTATTAAATTGATTTTTGTATGCTTATCTATTAGTAATACTTGTAAAAGTTTAATTTCCATGATGTAAAAATAGATGCATTAAAAAACCCACACTTTTACAGGGTATGTATATGTATATTTCTAAACATGTACAGGATGCTAGAAAAAGCCCTAGTGAGGCTGTGTAGAGCAACAGGGCAAGAATATGAGTATGGTAAGAAAACGGAGCTATCACACAGCTCTAGCAGTCTGCTTACAAAAGGAACGTGCCAAGATGCCAGTCAGATTTGCAGGTGTGTGGCTTTGTGTCTTGTGCTGCTTTTGTATGAATGACATTTACACATTAAAAAATACCTTTATGGAGATTACCTTTCATTTCGGTTGTGTAAAACTGTGTGCAAATGCATGTGGAGCAAGGTTTTCTAGGATGCTGTGAGCTATTTTGTAACCTGGTATTTTTGCTTGCTTGTCTTCGTGTACGACAAGATAGAGAGGCTTGGGAGCAAACATGACTGGATAGACATGTGCTCGTCGTCAGGAAAAAGGCTTCAGCCCCTTTTCGTCTCCAGCATTTCCGGATGGAGAAGGTCTTTGCATCGTATTTTTGGAAAAGGGAGGCCTCGTGTGGCCAGTGGCGGGAACAGCTGAGGCCGAGGGGGGAGGTAGGAAATCCTGCGCTCTGGTCCTTTTTCCCTTATTTTGTCAGAAGAGAGATACCTTTCATTGCCTTTAGAGGCATCTAAAACAGATTAAAAAGCATAACTCAAACTCAGAAGTCCATGTTTGATATTAAATCAATTCGTTAAACAAGAGAAATGGAAATGGAGCAGTGGTCTGTCTGGTATTTACCAGACAAAAAGACAACATTTTGATTCAAAGGTAAAATTAAGAAAAAAAACCACAACAAATACCTGAGTGTCTAGTGCATGTAAACTTTTTAAAAAATAATGTCTGATGTATCCAATGCGCAGTTCTTTGCCTTGAGGTGCTGTAAGATCTATCTGGAGGAAACCACAGCAACCCAGGTACCTATGAGAATACCTTGGTATGTCAGCGAGTTGTAGGTTAAAGCCCTAGTGTACAAGAGGGTATTCCAGTACTCTTACTTTGGACATAGATCTTTGAGAGAAATAAATCCAATCATAATGCACTTACCTCATTCCATCAACTGCACCCTGATTATCAATTTTAAGCACAGTCTCCAGGTTTTTTAAGAATTACAATTAAATTCCCCAAAATGTAGGACTTGCCATCAGTAACACACTGACTACTTATCAGCTGGGATTTGTGACACCTCTTGTTGTGCCTGCCCTTCTGAAGAGATTATTTCTGTTTGTGACTCCAGCTGGGAGCAGTTGCTGGGAAAGGCATGGGACTGTGTTTGTGCACACTCACATATGAGCAGTGCTGGGCTGGAAGCTGGTTCTGGGTGTTTTCCCTTTTGATTTACAAGATTCGTTCATTACCTTGTCACTTTCAGTGACTTTAATACATTCCCTGGCTTAACATTGGTTAAAATTTCCCTTAAAATCAAATATACTTGTTATTAGGCTGCAGCTTTTGACATAGCAGATTCAGGTAATCAGGGTACTAATGGTGAGATTCAGCTGGTGTATAGAAATTGCATGTGAGAGTAGAGTCAGGATGAAGAGAAAAATATTCTGGACATTGTAATCTCACCGTGGTTTTTAGTTTGCTCATCTAATGGATGTACCATTGGCAATTGCATCTCCTGAACTATCTCCAGGATAAGACGCAGAGGAAGCATTTTCTGATGACGCCAGCTAGGGTTTGTCAGCAGCTGCTGCTGCTCAGGAGGCTGCTTCGCATAGGAAAAAAAAATGTCGGTTTTTCTATTTTTGGCTAGAAAAACCCAGTATTTGAAAAGGCTTGTCTCTTGAGATTGAAAGAAGGCATCTGAAGGCAAAAGAAGCATATGTTATTCTAGCGCTTTATTTCGTCTGGCTATAACTTAAGTGCATTTTGCAAGGGTGTTTATACCCATCGGGTGCAATTCGGGATATCTTATTGTAATTTTTTATTTTTATATTTTCCCAAGACTGTGATGCCAACGTACCCGAAATTCATACTGGAAGTACCTGTTCTGGGAGGAAACAAAAAAACCCAAGGCTGTTAAAGGCAGGGGGAAGCGGCGCCGTGTGACCCTGCCAGCCGAGCGTCCCTCTTCCCGCGCTGCCCGGGGGTGCTGCAGGTGCAGGCGGCCTCCCCCGAGGGAGCACCGTCCTCCCAGCAGCGCGGGGACAAGCTGAGGGGCAGACAGGGCTGTCCCCGCACCCCGCGGGCATCCCCTTCTTTTCATCTCCAGGCGCAGGCTGAGGCGGGGTGGGCATGACCAGTACAGTAACACTCCTTGGTTGTACCCAAACTGGAAAGGGAGAACAGCGACTTTGCCAAAGCAGAAGTAGATTAAAAGCTTCATCTCATGAGTCAATTAGCTGCCAAAGTCCTTCCCACGATGCAGTGCCAAGTGGGATTTTATTTCTTGGGGGGGGAACCGGGCCGGGCCGGACACGCAGCTGTCCGGGGAGTGTTTCCCCTGGGGTGTCACCTGTGCCGGTGATGCGTTTGCAGGTGCGCTTGGCAATCGCTGAAAAAGCCCTGGAGTGTGAGGAGCACGATGTAAACCTGCCGCTGAGCGAGCACAACGAGCCGTGGTTCATGCGCCTGAATTCCTCTGGGGAAGTCCCTGTCCTGATCCATGGGGAAAACATCATTTGTGAGGCAACGCAGATTATCGATTACCTTGAAGCAACGTTTGTGGATGGTAATCCCTCTGGTGTTTGGCTGGGGAATCCTTCCCCTGGTACCCGTAGCCCGCAGCAGTTTTGGGGGCAGCTCCGTGTCGCTGCTTGTTGGTTTGGTCAGGACTGGAGAATATTTGTGGTCTCACGAGTCACTGGCAGGCACTGGAACAGGCTGCCCAGGGAAGTGGTGGAGGCACCATCCCTGAAGGTATTTACAGGATGTGCAAATGTGCAGTTTAGGGACATGGTTTAGTGGTGGACTTGGCATTACATGGTAAGTGGTTGCACTTGATGATCTTAAAGGTCTTTTCCAACCAAAGCAAGTCTATAATTGTAAGTAAATGGGATTTCCCACTAATTGGTGGTATGGGGTAAAAACTCACTTCCTTAAAATGAATGTAAGGCCTTCCAGCACCTTTACAAACAGATGTAGGTGAAAACCCACCACTGCTTCAGGACTGATAGGAGTCAGCAGTGGCAGCCCTGCATTGTGCTGACCCCGAGGTGAGACTGCTGTGAAAAATAACATGTTGAACAGAGAGCTGCACAACTAGTTGCTGTTGGGCAGGGCCTGCTTCTCTGTGAGAACAACAGAGAAAAAGGTGCTTAATTCCAGGATAAGCTTGGGGAGAAAAAAAGGGAGTACGGTAAGTAAATTATTTTTGGAGTCAGAACGAAGAGGCAAAAAGTAGGAAGAAAAAACTCAGGAGTGATCAGATGTAGGCTTTTGTAATTTTTTGTATTGCCAGAAAACAGGCTGCCTCAGTTTTTCAAGGCAATGCGAAGTTGTGATTTTTAGGAGTGGAGAGGAGCATTTTGTGTTTCAGGAGTTTAGCACTGCAGTTTCTAAGGCATGAGGAAAACTTCGTTGTTGGGTGAACATAATTTTTATTTAATGCCGGTGCTTTCATCAAATGGGGAGTTGGGGCCTAGGTAGATCAAGGATAGGGTGAAACCTAGTGGTGTGCAGGAATACTTCTAATCATGCTTTGAGTAGGGTTCCTGTACTGCAAGTTTCACAGCATTGCAGTTGTAGTAATGTTTCAGCCCTAAGGTGAGAGCACTAAAAGGCTGTGGGCCATGATTTCCCCTTCCTAGAAGCACAAAATAGGTGCTGAATCCAGTTTTCTGATTTGAAGGCTTCCTAAATACTCGTTTATGTGGGAATTGCATGGGAATTGGAATTACTTAGTCTTTAAAATTAAGTACATGTATATATGTTTCTCTGAGCTGTGATAACACTGAGTTATGGTGGGAACAACTGAAGCTTTCTTAACTGTGACTGCAACTTCTGTGCTGGTCGAATGTAACCAAAGAAACTTTGGAAATGCTGCTTTTGGTCAATTACATGATTCTTCTTTTCCTAACTTTTATTTTTAACTTTGTATTGCAGAGGAAGTACCAAGATTAATGCCAGAAGAAGGAAGCATGTATTATCCAAGGGTGCAACACTATAGAGAGCTTTTAGACTCCTTGCCTATGGATGCCTACACACATGGCTGCATCCTGCACCCCGAGCTGACGGTGGACTCCATGATTCCAGCCTATGCTACCAGCAGAATTCGTAGTATGTACTGCTATAGCTCTGAATGCCTCCCAGTTAATAGGATGTTGCATTCCATTCATCTTGTGTCTTCACTGCACCTTACACATGAAATATTGAGCACAGATTTCCAGTTTTAGTTGCAGTCCTTGATAATTTGTGCATATACTTTTTATTGTATTCTGTTACCATTTGAAAACAAGAAAGAGGACGTGTAATTTTTGAGGTGTCTGCAGAATTAATTTTCCTAATGATTGAAAATGTGCTTCTTGTACATAACAGAAAATGGCAGCTGTGACAGCTGTATTTTATTTTCTGATCTTCCTGTTTATGCATATATAAGTATTTCTAGGGAGCAGTTCCATTGCTGCTTACATCAAACCACTACACTGAAAGAAACACATTTTTTGTCATTGCAAACTTGTAGTATGTTTACCTACTAAATTGATTAAAGTGATGCAAATGCAGATTATCCTCAATGAAACAGAGTCCTTTTTGTCTGAGGAATGTACTGTGTCAACTTGATGCCAAGGGTAGAGAGAAAAAAACCAATTGTGAACAAGTAAGTAAGTAGCTTGGGTTTATCAGACCAATGGAAATTGTTAAGGCAGAATTTATACCAAAATCCTAGCTACAAATAATGCAACTGTATAGAAAAAGGATAAAGGATGAAATGGTGGTCTCACAGAATTAACAGTAAGATGTCCTTTGACTTCCTTGGGTTTGGTGTTACACCTGATGGACTTTTATATACATACTAGTTTCCCATGGAAAAAATAGCTAAGGGCAGTGGAAATAACTGCAGAATATGTTGCCCAGTCCTCTTTATAACAGAGAACCGCCTGAAATGAACTCCTCTTTTGAATCCAGTAGTTTGCAGAAATACTTAGTGTAAACAGTGTTTAGCGATACTCGGAAAAATTCTTGGCAAATAATCTTTCAGTTCTCATAGCTCTTTATTTTTTTAAATTTTTTTAATTTTTTATCCTGGTTTTGGGCACCAGAACTGGACAGCAGATTCTGTTCATTTGCATGTCAAACAGATTTTTTTTTTCACTGTGTGGATGTTCAAGGATTCCAGCATTACTTCCAGCTATAGGACTGGACTGGGAATCCTTGTTAGATGGCAGTGGATAATGACTTCAGTTTAGCTTTTCAGAACTGCTTGCAAGCTTACAACCCTTTCACCAAGAAACAGCCTGCATCTTTTGCTTTCATTTATATTTTACATTGGACTGTTTTGAAACATCAATTGGTTACTTAGGCCAGCCAGACCAGATCACTGGGTATCAGGCCCATGTTTTTTCTTAATTTACATCCCTCCTAGTCGTTGTACCATGGCAAGCTTTGATAGAACGAAACAGTTCTAGCACAAGAATCAAATCCCTAGAACACATCTGGATAGTGATTCCCTGTTTACAGTCATGTTCTGAGATCTCTGATTTTTTTGGTCAATGTCAGTGCTTTATATCGTGTCGATTTTTTTTATATGATATTTTAGAATGCTCTGTAGAACAAAATCAGCTACTGCAGAGACTTTTAAATGTAATACAACTGTACTATTACAAAATTAATAATATCACAGAAGTTGATACTGTGTTAGTTGGAGAAGTTCTGTTTCCATCAAACTGTGTTGTCCTTTAAAGTTCTGGGTGAGTCAGTTCTTTTATTAGTCATGCTGTTATTTTGTAAGATGTGAAATCAGGCAGCTTTCTTTACAGTTGCATGAGTTAACATTTAGAAAACATCAGCTCAAAATTAGTTCTCTTTCTATCTGCTGGAAACCTTTTTGAGCATTGCGAAATATTTAGAGGTCAGTGTTGCTGGTCCAATGATCGATGTTTATTTAAAAATAAAATCTTCATTAAAAGTATCGGGAGAGATTTAAAATGGGTAATTTCAGTGGGAGTAATTAGCTTTTTTTTTTTTTTTCCCCCTGAAGTAACATGAATTATTTATTCTTTTATATCAGTGTCTGTTTGGTTTTTTTCCCCCAAATGTAGGTGCTGTCTGTTGAACAATTGTACTTCACCTGTGGGTATTATTGACAGTGCTTCTGTTTTCACGTGGTGATAGTACTTTTATTACAGTTCACTTTACAATGTCTTGTGTTCTGTACGCCCCTCTTATGTTTTGTGTCACTATATGCCCCTCTAGCTTCTAGTTGGTATAAATTGTTGTCACTTCGCGCACACACGTTCATATTGGTAGAGCTAAAATTGCTTCTTGTCTAAATTGGGATGTTTTCTTATCTTTTATACTTAAAGCATAGCCTGCTTTTCTTGATTTGAGGCATTTTTAATAGCTCATGGATGTTTATAAACAATTCCTTTGCTTGTTCAGACTTCTCCTGTCTGCTTTAGTTTTCAACTTTAAAAAGCTGATCTGTCTCAGAGTGCTAGATATAAGCCACCAGCCACTTATGTATTATGTTTATGCATACCAAATCTAATTAAGTAACTAATTGCATATGTAATATTTTAGTTGTGTGGTTAGATCCTTCAATTTCTTCATATACTGTGTTGAATGATGGCTTCCACAGTCAAGTTGAAACAAAGAATATATATGAAATAATGAGTTCATTGTTCTCTAGCAAGAATTTTTATCTGTCTAATTTATAAGACTTAATTGGAGCCAATCTTAATTATCAAATACAAGGGAGAGGTGATTCATGCCCTATAATTATATTTTAGTTCATTATTATTCTATTACTGGAAATATTTATTTTTAGCAGATAACTTACTATTCACTATCTCTTGATATTTTGGGTCTGTAAGTATAGCATTTTCAAGTAAAGTCCTATTTTAAGGAGAGAAAAGGCTATATACATGTAGGATTGTCCCAAATGAGGCAAGATAGCAAATCAGTAAAATTATTGTAAATTTTTCATATAATTGCTTCTTTAAGACACATAATGTATATTTTTTTAGAATGTCCGTATAATCTGTAACAAACATTTTGGAAAGGGATCACAGATCTTGGTGTCACGTTTTAGCTAGCTGGAAACACCTTGGTTCCGTATTCGGTGGTATTTAGGCTTTTGCTGTGGAATTATGCATGTGACCTACAGGAAATCTCAGTATGGAACTATCTGCCCTTTCACAGCATGAAAGGTGTGTTAGGAACACAGAAAATGAGGTATAAAATTATCAGAGACCTAAGGTATTTGTAGCAGAATTTCATCAATTTAGCACAGTTTTTGGCAGCAAAAGTGATTTTATCTGGATAAGAGAAACATATTATAAAGAATTCCTCATTCTTGCCTGGCACTTTATAAAGTTCATTGCAAATTGATGAGCAGAAGGTGTGGTGGGGTGAATTTATCCAGCGTTTAAGTTTTCCAAAACACCATGTTTTTGAATCCAAATGTTGTGCTGATGCTTCACTGAAGTACCACTTCCCATTTATCTGGTGTGATATTTTTACACAAGCTATTGATCAGTTCCTGTGGAGTGCATTATGGATTCTTTGGGATATCTAATACCATTCCTGTGTTTTTTTGTGTCAGGCCAAATAAGTAACACAGAATCAGAGTTGAAGAAACTTGCAGAAGAGAATCCAGACCTTCAAGATGCCTATATAGCAAAACAGAAGCGCCTTAAAGTAAGAAAACTCTTTGTGGTTCCCTCCCTTTTATCGAGAGCTTGTTAGTGTCAGATTTTTCCTGTAACAATATAAATATTTTGTTTCACCTGTCATTGTCAGTAGTGTCATGCAGTGGTTTAACCCTACAAGGCATGAAGCAGTCTGTACCCCAGATCAGCTACACACTTCAGGTGTGTGCTGAAGTATTGGACTGGTCCCACTAACTTTGAAGGTAAGTACATATCAGTACTGGTGTTGGGCTCTTGAGCACCCTGCAGGGTGAGGCAAACCTCAATATCTAGCAATTCTAATATTTACCTCCTGTTACTTAAATTGTCACCAGTATACAAGTTGTGTTCAGCTGACTGTGTGGTGAAAATAATCACATTCTGCAACATAAGCACTGGAGTAGCTAATTAAAGGTACGATGTACTCTGTGCAATGATTAAAACACTAACCTGTATCTATATTCAGTCTAAACTGCTGGATCATGATAATATAAAATATCTAAAGAAAATACTGGATGAACTGGAAAAAGTTTTGGATCAGGTTGAGACCGAATTGCAGCGGCGAAACGAAGAAACACCAGGTAAGGATTTATACTTTCTAAAGCCTGTTGAGGCTTATGTTTGGGGAGACTGAGTAAACTGGTTGACAGCATCATCACAGGACTGGTTTTAATGTATCTGATTGAATCTTTTAGCATTTGCTGATTTAACTTCACAGAAGGAATTAATACAGTTTTAAATACAAGTTTAGGTTATTGCTGCTGTCAGTGCTTAGTCACATTTTTGGCATAGTGAGTATAATTAGCTGCACAATTTTGCAGTATTTTATAAACAAAATAAGTTGTTCTGGATGTTGTATTTGTAGGCCTGAGTTCACTCTGGCGGTTGTGACCTTAATGTTTAAACACAGATTTATTAAGATCTTGTTTAAATACTCTGCTGATATTTTTGGTATATGCAGAATTAGCAATCTGGATAAGTGCTGTAATCATTAAGGTGCCTCCCTTCCCCACTCTCTTGAAAAGCAGTAGTGTTTACAAGCTGTCCACCCAAATGAAAGTTGGATTTGATTTAAGTAGGATTAGTTTTCTGCTTATTCAAAGCCTGGTCCAACTCCCAGTGGTGCTAGTTAGAATCCTTCCTATGACTCTCCTGGGAGCTACATGAAGCATCAATCAATATCAACCACATCTGCTCAGATAAATAAGTCTTTGCATTTGGCTTTACAAATAGCTGTTGTAATATCTGTTACTATCATGACAGTAGATTTTAACCAGGAATTGAAAAATCCAGGTTAAATTTTCTACTGACTCAACAGTGAAAGACCTGCAGAAAATGTTTTAACTTACAAAGGATGTTAGGATTTTTATCAGCAAAGTAAGTGTCACCATATCCAGCAGCCCCTTTGCTTTCCTCACTAAAGAGCCTTTCCAGGGAGTCAACTGGTATAGTACTGATGAGCCTATGAAAACCAAGAGGATTACAGGATTTAGTAAAACACTTGGTGCCCCTTGGAATTTTGTCTGAGGTATTCACGTTTTTTGAGTTTGTGAAGAATGCTTCTGCCAGGTCCTGGTCAATCTCTTGAGCTTCTGCTTCTCTTGCTACTGCTCAAATCCCTCATTCACTTAATGCTGCTGCCGCTGCAGGCATCTTTCTTTCACACAGCGTAGCTTCTTTGGTCTTTCTTTCCATAATTTTATTTACTTAATGCACTGGATGAATCCCCATGTATCCTTTCAGCATCATAGGTACATTTGTTCTCTGCTGAGGCTTTTCTTCCAGACCTGCATAACTGGTCTAAACGGACTGGTACCAGCAGTGTGCAACACTGTTGCTTTCCTCTGGTGGCAAATGAGTTGAAAGGGACACTGCGGAAGTTCTGTGTTTCTGTAGAGGGACTGCTGAATGTTCATGCCAGCAGTTTCGCATGCCTGTTGTATAGGAAGAACTGCAAAAGGTGACAAATCAGGAGGGAATGGCATAGTCCTGTTTCATATCTGGTCTATAGCAGAGTACTTATTCTGGCAGCTGTGCTAACTACCAAATTTTATATTCTGTGTTTCAAAAGCTCTCGGTGTTGTCAGTACAGATAATCCCTTGCGTGGTTGTTCAGGTCACTGAAGTTAAAGCTGTGATGCTGCCTAGCAGTGGCCACCCTGAGCCATCCCTGGAAGATTCACCTCTTTCATTTGACTGGAGAGGGAGCCTGGGGTCTTCATCTGTGCTTCTGACTAATGGTGGGCAGTGACAATATCCATCATTTTTCAAATTTCTCTGTGTGAAAAGCCCATGGTTTGGGGTCTAGGAGGCACAAAGGAAGGAGTAGTAGACAAACTATCTTCTCACTACGCTGGTGTGCTTGGTGCAGGTCAGTCATCTCATCTGTTTGTTTTGACTTGAAAGTCTCCAGCAAATTAGCAGTTTTTGAGTGTATGTCATGGAGCTGAGTGACACAAGCAAGACTGTAAACTCTTCAAGCAAGTAGCAGCTTTTCAGTAAAAGCTAAACTGCCTTCCTCCTTTCCAGTTCTGTTTAATTCAATTCAGATTTGAGAAATGTAGTTGAGCAAAATAAGTGTTTAGTGTGGATTTAATTTATGAGCTGAAATGTGGCTTGTTTTTCCTTAACAAATGTAGGCCAGACTGCTGCACTGAAGTCTTTATAATGTTATGTGAATAATCGACAGGGATTAGTAAAATGTTCATTGATTAAAGTCGGATTGTGGCTGATTTATGGGTCATGCTTATTAGACAGCATTTTTAAATAGCACTAAACTAAATGTTATCCCATGAAGGCTTCTCCTTGTGCTTGTATTCCATTAGCTCCTAATTCTTTATGCTTTATTTCTGCTTAGAAGATGAAAATCAGCCTTGGCTCTGTGGGGATTTCTTCAGCCTGGCAGATGTATCACTTGCTGTCACTTTACATCGCCTGAAGTTTCTGGGATTAGCAAGAAGAAACTGGGGAAACGGAAAGCGGCCCAACTTGGAAGCCTATTATGAGCGTGTCCTAAAGAGGAAAGCATTTTACAAAGTTTTAGGACATGTCAACAATATATTAATCTCTGCTGTTCTGCCAACAGCTTTCCGTGTGGCCAAGAAAAGGGCACCCAGAGTCCTTGGCACCACCCTGGTGGTCAGTGTGCTGGCAGGAATGGGTTATCTTGCTTTCATGTGTCTTCGAAAGAGGTTGGGCAACATCATGTTGTCATTTAGAACCAGGCAAAATTATATTTAGACCCTTCCATCCCTGTCGGTGAGCAGAAGGCATCTCTACCCACCAGGAGTATGTCCCAAATGAAATATAAACGTAGAAGAAAGGTTATGTTTGTAAATTAGAACATTGTCACACAGGAATTGTCTCCTGCTGCTGTATAATTGGATTGGCAAGGCCAAGATATTTGTGGAAAATATATACTGGGGGGGGCAACAAAGGAAAAAAAGAGATTTTCTTTTCAGATGAGGACTTAGAAGAGTTATGACAGTGCTTTTTTGAAGTGGTTATTGTCTCCTTTACCCAGTAGCTGAACTAATTATAATGCTTTTATTTAATAGATATGCAACAGTGTAACAGCTTTTCACTGTGGGTGAAATGCATTCCTGTGCAGAAATCAACATGGTTGAAATAAAAATAGCACTTACTTTAAAAGCTTGAAGTAGGATTTAAGTGGAACATAGGCTCTGTACCTGTCATGTACAAGAGTGAGAGTCTCTCTACTGATTAATGTATATTGATTTGTAGTTGGACCTTTAGGAATGTGTTAAACAGTAGTTTTGTGGAGCCACTTTTGTCAGGATGTGTTCATGCAGTAGTACAGGAAGAGACCTGAAATACTTATGAACATCTGTGATTTGTGGGCCACGCAAGTGAAATTCTGGAGAGGCATCAGCGATCAACAGATGCTAAACTTCAGCTGAAATACAAATGGGAGTGAAAAACCTGACACTTGTCTTTTGCAAGTATTTTGAGTAGCATTTGGTCAGCCAGGTACCCAGCTCAACTGCAAGCCCTGTCTGAGTCAAACCTACATTATCTTGGTGCACATTTCCTGGTTTTGTTGGGGTGGCTGGATACAATTGTTTCCACATTAGTGTCCCATGTACCCTTTTTTGTTTCCACTCTGAGCACTAGTAATATTTTTCACACTACTTGGTTATGGTAGCAAATGTGTGTGCCTCAATGAAATGTTTGCCCACAACATGCCACAGCCAACTAGAAAACATATGCACAACAGTGCATTTTGTAAAAGTTATTTTAAATAGTTCATTATCTTTCAGTCTGGTTAGGTATCCTAGATGGAAGGTGAAACTGTAATTTAGCAATCTGCTTACTTATGGAGAGGTGTCATATTCATGGTAAGTGAAAAATACAGGTCAGTTTGGAGACAGATAATTTGTACTGCAGATTCTGTGCAAAGCTGCACTCTTGTATCATGTAGGAAAGGAGTAGAAAAACACTTTGATTACTTCCCACGACTCAGCAGATGCTGAGAGTTTAACTAGATTTGAACTGAACTCCTGTTAAAATGAGAAATGCACATTTACCTGAAATCAGATTCTGAATGATTTTGCAGCAATAATGAAATTGGGAAACACTGAAAATTCTCGTGACAGTTTAATTACATTTTTCTATTCTTGATGAATATCTGAGCTCCTCAGAGTTCCATTTAGAAGCTGTAGATAACTGCTACAAGCAAAACGTGGCTTTAAATGTTTGTCTATCAACAACCATCACTAGCAGGCCTAAGTACATTTTAGATCCAGTGCTGGTGGCTGTGGTCTCTCTGCGCAATTGCTTTTGAGTGTCCAGAAGATCTGCCCTCAAGTTTACTGGAGAGAAATGAGGCAGTTTCTTTTTGGGTAGTCTCACCATCTAACAGATATTAAAATAGGCAAAATTGTTGAATACTCCTGTTTGTAATTAATATTGTGTTAGTTGTCTAGTGTAAGAAGACCTAGGAAACAATGCCTTTTAAAAATTATTTGTCAAAAAGACAGTTTTATATAATTCTATTTCATGACCCAGTTGTTCTCCAGAACTTGTTTAATTGAATGGCCTTTGTTTAGAAATGCTGTATTATCTTTAGACTAAGTTTAATCCAACAATACTATTAATATGCTGGCATCTTTAACTGAGTTTGTAGTTTATGTATTGCAGTTCATTTGCATTTGTAAGCAAGAAGTTCCACTAAATACATAAACACAGAGTAAGGCCTTTAATTTAATGCTTCCCTGGCACGTAGTTCTCTGTCAGGCCATCTGTACAATATAATTTGACGAAGTCATGGTAAAATGCAATACACGACTTAGCTTTCTTTAAAATTTATATTTTACTTTTTCCTTCCTCTTTTTTTTTTTTTTAAATCTGTTAGTTCTATGTAAGAGCAATTACATTCCCAGAGATGTGCCAGTTTAATTCACACTAGCAGCCCTGTGGGTACAGGCTAATTATTGATGAAGCAGTTCTACTTCCCCCAAACCTCAGTGTTCTCTGCACTTTAGCTGGCACTCATTGCCTGCCAGCAGCTGCGGGAACTGCTGGGAAGGACTGACATGACCGCCAGGTGTCAGTGGTCCTCCAGGGCTGAACTTTGACATGCTTGGAGGCAGGGAGGAAAGCATTAGTTTTCACTAATAAAATATTAGTGATCTCGGTTTAAGATGGATGTGAGCATCCTCCTCAGACTAACAGTTTCTCAAGAGCTCTCAGAAAAACTGCTTTGGTTCTCCGATACCTGTCATTTATGCTTGTGTGTAGTTTCTACTCTAGATAAATAAGATGGCAAAACTGAAATAATATTTCACATTAAAGTGACTGTCACTGAACAGCAGTTAAACCTGTCATCTATAGGAATGAGCACGAATAAAACTTGTACTGTGGAAAACTTGGATCCCTAGTTTAATTCATGTCTGTCAGTTCAACTGTTTGACAGGCTTGTTTTCATTGCCCTGAAGTACTCTGTGCAGCATTGATTTCTATATGGGTGGCAGAAAAAGGCTTATCCATAGTTAAATTCTTCCAAATAGGATGAGATTTAGAAGCACACATACTGTATATGGCTCCCCAGGATAGCTTTTGTGTGGTGCACGTAAAGTTTCTTTTCAGCCTGTCTTATTTTCTTGGCTCTGGTACCTCTGGACACTACTTAAATTGGAAACACAAGCAATTTATTGGTTTTCATTTGCTATTTGCTCTTTTATCATGCATCAGATATATTTCATATTGTATCTTTGTAAGTGGGACCTGCACAATAAACTGATTCCAAGACCATTTTCTGGACTGGTTTATGTCTTTTGTGTCGGTAAAAAAAAGCACATTTGAGGATCACACAGTGTTGCTGTAAGGAGTCTGATGCTGTTCAAGGAGAGAAGCATCTGATATTTCAGTTTAGATTATGTTCAGATTGTCTTGCATCTGTCAGAAATAAAAGTTACAATGATAGTTTAGTTTATCTGAGCTGTATATGTATGAGGCTTGGCAGAAGCCGTTCAATAATGTTAAGACCCAGTTAAAGAAAAAGAGCAAGCGGTTTTTGTGTTTTCAATTAATCCTCACCCAAAAATAAAGCTTCTCTTCAAAGTGTGACCCTGTTTCTTCGTTTACTTTGTTGAGCTGCAAAAGCTGGGACTGCTTTCTGTAAGGTGCAGGAGAAGCACGTAAGATGTGTCTACACTGATATTGTCAATGAGACCAAACAATATATGCCTGACCAGTGTTAGTCTGCCTATAAGCCTTTTTTGTTTTGTTTCTTTTTGCACTGTAACTGTGCATTGGACCTTTTAAGTAGAAAAAGAGACAACACCTTTATGCTTGCATGCATTTCCTCTCAAAGCTGCTAGGATCATCTATAGAGCTGGTAGGCTTTGAGTTTCAGGATATGGTCTATGGACCAACTTTGTGGTGGCCTTGATGTTAGTATTAATCAGAAGTATTCATAGAGACCTTGCTGTGAAAAGCTTGTGTCTAAGCAGACAAGAGACACAAGAATGAATGGAAAGGTCACTGGTTTAATTGCTGATCCCAAGTCAAACCACAACAGGTAACACCAAGTATAAATACCTTGTGCGGATTCACCAACAGGTACACCAAGTATAAATACCTTGTGCGGATTCACATAGCTGTATGTCTGCTTTTGTGTATCATGTTTTTAAAGGTTTTATAAAATTATGTTTTAATTTTATGAGAGCAAGGAGCTACTAAATTTTAGAGAGCAGTATGGCATCCCCTAATTCTTGCAAGTTAGAGATGGCAGTAGATAGAATGTAAGTGAAGAGTAGTGGCTCTAGGTGGCTGGAGCACGCTGCTCTCCAATAAGGCATATGACAGATTATTCTTTATGGTAGCCTCCTTAAGTTTATCTCTATGTTAGACAAAGTGTAGGGTTGTGCTTAGGCAATTTATAAGATGTGGTAAAAAAGTCATACGCACGTAGAAAAACCCCAAACAAAATGTGGGGTTTTTTCCCTCTCCTTTCATTAAAAATAAATGTTTAGATTTGGTGCAGTACCAAGTCAAAAAGTCAGACACTCAAAATTCAGGAAATTCCAGAAGCCAGAGTTCTTACAATACTGTTAACTTAATAGTACAGTACTTCAGTAGCATTTTTATTTCTGTATTTCTTTCTAAGTTACAATCACAGTTCTTTATTTAATATGAAGTTCAAAATGTTGCACCATAAAATAGTTTTGCTGTGCATGATCTTAGTTACGGGAAAAATCTGTTGGAATATGCAGAGTTGAAGTTCTAGCTATTTCCATCTTAGCTTTACATCAGCATTTATTTTTACTACAGTTTAAAATGCTCATAAATCATAGTATAAGAGGGTATTGTGTAAACTAATACATAATAGCATACCTAAATATTGAAATACTTTTTATATATTCTATATGATCTCTATCCCTTCCATATTTTTTATGCTAAAAGTGCCTAATTGACAATTATATATATATGATATTATTTATTGTTTATAAAATCCAGCTCTGAAGCTAAAATGAGGAAAATATGGTTGATTTATTTAAAACTAACACAACAAGAATTGTCCTTTATGGTTCAAACTCAGTGCTTTATTACATGACATTTCTGAGATACTTTCTAGGATTGGAGATGTCTAAATCCTGCTGTGAAGGCAGGTACAGTCCCCACCAGCTCCCTGGAAGGCCATAAAGGAGGGGTTATTTTCATGCCTGGCTATGGCTAAAGAACCAAATAGAAGCAGCTGCCCACAAGGAAATTGCTAT